ATCAATTATTCTTTGGACGTTGGTCAGTCCTAAAAATGGCATTGTTTATCGGATATTCTCAAAAGCCAGTCAGAAACTACAGATCATATTTTCGCCTCCTTTACTCTGAGGGCCATGTCACACAGGGAAATTGACAAGCAAGGAAAAGTTCAAAAAGAAAATAGTAGGCAAATTACATAATTCCCTGTAAATATCAGGAGGATTTTCCATAAACTATTTGAAAGTGTACTTTGTTCATCCCGGGCTTGTAAGACTGTGCATTTGGTTGCCTCTAGGCTACCTGCGAAAAGTGCCTGTGAGACTTGGCCCTGAAGAAGAAATCCAATACATGTACTACTGGTAACTGCCCATTCAGGTGGCCCAAGATGGCAGACACCATGGAGGAAGCAATAGTCATGCAGACATTGTGCAGGCATTGTCAACCAGACCAGTTACATGTGGTATAATAAGGGAATAAACGTGTGCTTGGGAGGTGTTAAACACTATGTTTAAGACTGGTTGGAATCGGGAATGCTGATAATTACCCGAGGCGACATCAAAACTTTTCAGTCCAAAAGTCAAAACAATTAGTCAAAATTATAAATTTCCAAAGATTTTGTTCAACAATTAAATTCTGTTCTTCGAACCACCTGGCTAGCTATACAGTGGAGTGTCTAGCTCGCGAGTAAGATGTAAATAACTCCTTTTATGGAGATTGGCGCGCGCATCGCGTGTACTGCGCGATGACGCACAGATGCAGCTGTGGTGAGTGCGTTGTGAATTTAGGACTATGAAATACTGACTCACTGGTACTAGTATTGCGCATGCCTATGTGAGGATTGTGAACGTTCAACAAATAAAACGGTAACAGGCACTGGATTTCATGGGAGTCCAAATGTCATGTGACACTGGAAAAGTGTTTAAGACCAGCCAGCCATGTCTTTATCATCTGTTTAAGACCGGCCACTGGGAATGGGTAAACTCAACCAATGGGAATGGGTAAACTGTCTTAGGTATTTATGAATAATAATTAATAACAATTTGGAGGCTAATCATCCTCACTCACAGCTGAGAAGCTGAATTGCGAAGGACGTACATTTGTACATGGAAGCTGCGACGTACTGGTAGTTGAGCAGAAGGCAGTTGTTAAGGCACCTTAGGCAGAGGCCATTCGACCCATGTCTGATCACGGAGCACAGCCAGATTGAAAACGTTGATTTTTGCTGAGGGAGGAAAACCGGAGAGCCATGGCACAGGAAAGAATCAATGAACAAATCTCTATATGGTCCGCAGCCGGGAATCGAACCCGGGGCCACAGTGGTGAGAGGGCAGCACTTTACCCACTAGCCACCCATGCCACCCTTAGTTTAATTACCAGTTCTAAAGTCTAACAGCCATCAGTATTCCAAATCTTGTCTTCGTCTTCATATTCAGGAGATTATTGGGCACCTTCCGAGAGACTCCCAAATTCTACTAGTCCATGTCTTCCTTTTGGAATATTTTATCTTGTTATGTAATGTGACGCCAAAAAGTTACAGTATCTCAACTTGTTCTACAAGAAGCTATTCTTAAGCCAGAGTCGAATCTGAAACTCAACAGAGCCAATGTTTTGAAAACTGAAAAAAGATTACATTACATCATGCAACCCATGACAACACGTTGCCTACCTCCAGGCATGCATACAAGTACACATGTATTATGTAGCTGTTCTCAACATTGGTGTCATATCCTACACTTGCTAATTTGCAACTGATAATGGAAAGTCTGTCGCCAAAATCATGAAAAAAAATGAAGAAAATAAATTTCATTTACATACAAAGTACAAAAACTAAGGTGGATGTATTTCTGAGCAGGTACACTGTGCATGAAGGTTATAGGAATATTTCAAAAGTACAAGTATTTTTTTTCATGATTTTTGGCGACAGACTTGAAATTATCCATTGCAAATGTAAGTGCAGGATATGACCTTTCTAAATGTAACTACAGTATAGGTGAGGCCTTCATATTAGTGCATTTGAAAATGTCAAGAGAAAGAGAATTGGGATTATTGGGGATCAAACCCGCTGGCATAAATTGAACAGTCCACCGGAAAAAATATTAATGTACGAAGAGTTTATTTAAAAAAAACTGATAAATGCCATTTTAATACGTTGGCTGCCCAAAATCAGTGTCGACAGGTTTATATGTAATGTAGTTCAGTACAACTTTAAATTAAATTAATAAAGCCAATAAAAATGAATTTTAGCTGTCATAGGCCCCACTACTGTTTTTATTCTTTAAAGATTTGTAATCTTGGAAATTTTTCACTTTTTCTCAAATAGAAATATTTTGGAAGTAAATTCCCCATACTTTTTACAAGACAGATGATGTGTTGGGTGAAGGGATTGGCTATTACCTATAGTGTCATCATTAAATATACCAGTAATTTAATGGTGTCACAGTTTATTGTTAGTAATTATGGTACTATTTCTATCTTTGGTTGTTTATTAGCCCAATCTTTCGACTGGGCAGCAAAAAATTAGTCTATAGACTCATTAAATTGTTCCTCTGCACGGAAATCTTTAGTAAAAGGCGAAAGATTTATGCGAATGCAGAGAAACCAGAGTGATGCACACAGTAACTGACAATCACCCACTTCCCTTGGGGTACATTTCCGGTCACAGTAGGCAACACATGAATTTCATTTTCTTCCCAACTAATAATTAATGAATTAAAACATATCCCACTACATTTCCCATTAAAATCCCACATAATTTTGTAATAAATAAATTATCAACATGTGGATTAGTGGACAAAATCACCCACTTTTTGTTCTAAACTGCTGATTTTGCAGCAGGACCCTTTCTCATGAATATGCATTAAGCTGGCCTAATGTATATTCAGCATGGCTTTGAATAGCCTTGTGGGGGCAGGCTTTACGTGCACCGTTGCACTCATTCACTGAACAATGGCACTGCTATCTACAGTATACATTTGTACTTGTACTCTGCACAATGTATACAGCATGTCTAAAGCACATTACATACAGTACATGTTCACCTGTACAGGTACAGTACATGTACATGTACATGTACATGTACATGCACTTTGTACACACAGGGTTGTGTGCGTGTACGCAGGGACTTAAAGGGAATACACATCATTTGCTTTTGCTGTAATTTTCAGAAATGGATGGATTTGGGGGTTGCCTGTATATGGTAAATATTGTTACACCGACTTTTTTGACGTTTTAGGTTCGAAGATGCTATAAAAACGAAGAAAAACAGTCATTTTCCTGTTGTCTGGTTCCCTGACTCCATTTAAAATGAAACGGAGCAATTTATAGACGTTAGGGAATTGTAAGGTCAGGGAACCAGTCTAGCTTGCTTGTACCCGTTCATTGGTGTGTAATCGATTGCAAACAAAACCGGACTAACTAAATATGGTCAATTGGAGCCAGTATTAAAAAAGCAAGTTTTTTTCCAACGCTGGTCGGCCGACCAGCGTTGGAAATTGATACGAAAATACCACTTTTCTTGAAAATGACAGTATACCAGGTGCCATGCTTTTACAGGATGATTTAGACGGTCATTCACTAACAGTCCAGCAAGGTATTTCAAAATAATTTAGTAACTTTATTTTTTGATGTTTGCAAATGTTGTATTTTCCCTTTAATGGTGCACATGTACATGTACCAGTACCCAAGGAAAATTATTTATTGTACCTGTACTGACTTGATATCCTGCACATGGTATCTTTGCAGGTTTGATTGTTACAGTGTGACCCCATCAGTTGCTAATAATAAGTAGCACTGGTATATTTAGTTTCAAGACAGCGGGTCTGGGAACCAGATAAAATGGGATTCCATACGTTTCCAGACGTCTGCCACAATCTTTTTGCTGTTGTTTTTTAATATTAAAGTCATCCCAAGGGCAAGAAGAATCTTTAGTAAAAAGGTGAAAGATTTATGGGACTTATTAAAAGGTTCTTGAAAGATGTTTCTTTCATGTAAATAAAACATGACATTACATATAGTTTACAGGGCCATTATTGTCTCGGTAATAGTCAGATAACTGGATGGTTACTACACGACTAGGATGAACCAAAAGACCAAAAGCCCTTACCATCAAACTCTTTCTCCCACGCCCTGGCCTTCATGATGCCAGAATCGTGGGTTTCCTGCAGGAGTAGGATATCTGCACCTTGACTCCTGCAGAAATTGAAAATCTGACGACATTTACCTACATGTACATTCTTCAGACCATTTGCGTTAAGGGTGACTACTGGAAAGCTCCTTCAAAATATTATACATGAATAAAACTAATCATCATCATCAAATAAATTTGAGTTCACTTTCATTTTGAAGTACTCTCTCTTGGTCTTGCCTTTTTCGTTTTCTTTGGGATTACCTTGACATAGCGTTCCTTGGCCTCGGAGCTCTCTGTAGACGATGAGGACGAAAGGTTCCAATTTGATGCGATGCTGCCTGTCGATATTGTGTGCCCCTCTTCCTACTCCTAGTCTCTGTTCAGACAGTTTTCCAGCTTTTTGTTGTCTTGCATGATATCCCCCCATTACTTTTATTGTGCCAAGAAAAACACTGAAGACGAGGGTTTTGTTCTCGCCAACAGTCTATTAAGCCATGATCCTTAAGAATTCTGCCGAGTTCTGTTGAGCCCAAAGTCCCATTGTAATACCTGAAAGCGCTACTTTGCTTGTGATCTAAGACTTAATCCAAATAACAATTGAAATCCCTACCCAAAATAACGTGCCTGGTTCCCCTAAAATGATTGGCTAGGTTTTCTCTAAAAATCTTTTGTCGCTCTTTAGGATCGTTCGGGGCGTAACAAATTAACAATGCGAACTTTGGAATGCGTGTTTGGTAAAGTAACTGTAACAGAAACAAGGCGGCCGTTATTGTCTCGGTAATAGTCAGTTGGTTTCCACGAATGGCATTTTGAAAGCAAGATGGCTACTCCGCGACTAGAAGATGAACCAAAGGACCAGAAGCCCTTGCCGTCAAATTCTCTTTCCCTGCCCTGGCCTCCATGAAGCCAGAAGCGTGGGTTTCCTGCAGGAGTAGGATATCTGCACCCTGACTCCTGCAGGAATCGAAAATCTGACGGCGTTTACACAAATTCCTCAGACCATTTGCATTCAGGGTTACAACTGAAAAACTCATACATGTAAGAAAAATAATACACGCAAAATATTTACACAACATCATCATAAAATAAGAGTTCCAATTCATTTGGAAGAAGTCTTTCTGGCCTGCTTCTTCTTTCGATTTCCAAGTACCTCAACAAAACGTTTCTCGTCCTCTAAGTTCTCATCAGTTGATGAGGATGATAAGTTTCGTTTGGACGCAACACTGCTTGTAGATATTGTCGAACCTTCGTCTGAGTCTCTGTCCTGGACCAGACATTTCTCTAGTTTTTCATTATCTTTCTTGATGTCCGCCCAGTCTAAGGCATGTTTCCCCGAAGAGTACTTGACGAAGAATGTGTCTTGACTGTCCCATGTATCTTGTGTAGACTGGCTTGCGGGTCCCTCGATGATTTCGTCCGGTGTTTTTTGGGCGTTTTCAATGGTGGTCTCTAGTGATGACTTGCTCGCAGTTGTTGGGACCTTGCTTGTTGTTGCTGACTTGCTTGCGGTCGATGCAGACTTGCTGGTAACTTTCGATGGGGCCGGGGCCTTGCTGGCGGACCGTGGCTTGCCTGCGGTTGACGGTGGTTTGGCCTTGGTCAATGAGACCTTGTTGGCGGTCGGTGGCTTGCTTGCCGGCGATGGCTTGCTTGTCGGCGATGGCTTGCTTGTGGCTGATGGCCTGCCTACTGTCGATGGTGGCTTGCTTGCGGCTGTTGGCTTGTTTGCGGCCAGTGGCTTGCCTTCGGCCGATGGTTTGCTTGCGGTTGGTATCTTGCTTGGGGTCGGCGATGGCTTGCCTGAGCTTGCCGTTATGGAGCGGGTGGTAGGTCGAGGGCGGGGAGTTGGTTTGGAGCTTGCCGCGCCAGATTTAACGGCCTCGTCCCAGAACCCCTGGGCCTTGGTAGAGATCTCCATCTCCTCTGTTTCGCTGTCGCCGGTTGAAAGGGGAGGAAAGTCGGTTTTGCTTACCAGTTCACGGGATGGCGGGAAAACCATTGTGCCTGGTCTCATATTGGTTGCTGCTGAGGTTGAAGTTGGTCTAGCGAGCGATGTCGGACAGTTAAATGAGGTGTGGTTTTCTGAACTGCAAATTGTGCACGTTTTTGGCAGTGGGCACTCCGCGCTGCGGTGCCCTTGCCCCCTGCAGTTGAAGCATGTTAGTGTCCCGCAGTTGGCTGCCAGGTGGCCTGGTTTACCGCAACGTCGGCAGGTCTTTTGCTGTCCGTCGTACTGGACGTACAGCTGAAAAGGCCCCACCTTGATGTAGGAAGGAATGGGCGAACAGAGGGTCATGCGAAAATGGCGGATGCCATTCTCCCATTCGGGCGTTGCCGGCCAATGTCCACGTCGGTGTCCTATCACCTGCCCATACTGCGCTAGGGTAGTGACGATGGGTCTGTCCGCCAGCTCCTGTGGGGCGTTGTGCATGTTGACGTACACCAACGCTATGTCGGCCTCTGAAGTTGTTTCTGGTCTTTCGTTGATTTTCAGGTGTTCTGTAGTCATCTTTGTCTTGGCTGACGTCTTTTTTGAAAGTGACGCACCACTTAGCATCATTCACGTGTTGCACGCATTTCACTTCATTCTCTGCAACATGCTTCTTTATCAATGCGAAAATTTCTTTCGGCTGTGTCTTTTCTTCAAGATGTAGGTTGAGGCTCAGCTCCCGGTTGAGCCTCGAGAAAGCCATCTTTGTCTTTGGCGTACTCAGTCGTGAAATTTAGAAATCTTTAGTAAAAGGCGAAAGATTTGTACGAAAATGCTAACGCTCTTTCCCCCTCTGATGTTGTCACTGGTTTCTCGTTGATTCTCAGAAGTTCTCTCGTCGTCTTTGCTACTGTTTTCTTGAAGGTGATGCACCATTTTCATGGCTTATAACAGATTTTACGTCGTTTTTCAGCATGTGTTTCTTGATCATCTCGATCGAATAGCCCTTTTGGTTGCGCTTTCTTTTCTAGGTGAAGATTGAGGCTCAGCTCCCGTTTGAGCCTCGAGATCACCATTCCTAGGCCTTCTCTAGTTGACGTTTAGTGTAGTAGGAATCTATACTTAAATAGCAAAATAAGCGAAAGTGCATTCCTGCAAGGCTGCCGGTATCTCCACTTCAGATTGGAAAAGTAGCAGTTTGTTGACTAAGCTCTTAGCCTTGTACGGGATACCTTTGACTCATGAGTTGGACATTGATGAGTCCCCATATCAGGGATGCCACTTGGAGTGCAATATAAGATAACGTGATACGGCCCCAATTTTAATGTAGGGAGGTATGGCAGATCTCAGCGTCATTCTCACATTGGGAATGCAGTAATGTGCACATTCTTGTCTTGGTTGATGTTGAAGCTCAACCCTCTTGCTGGTATATTGTAGTCTTCAACACGCAGTCTTTGATGACATGTCTCAATCCTTGGACGACTTTCTTTAAAAATAACAGAAAAGAATAAAAACATTTGTAAAAATTATCTTAAAATATAAAGTACTGTTTCATTTGTGGGTTGCAATTTTTAAGACAGTACTGACAATACAGGGAATGCATTTGTACATGGGTCATTCCATAAATTAGGGGTCCAAGAGTGCGATTTTTTTTTATTGTTTTGGCAGGTACTTTGCTCTACATGGCATTAAAAAGCGTGTCCTGAATTTACAACATCAATGTAATATCAGATGTAAAAGGGACTCGCTCTAAATTGGACCCCAAATTGTGGAATGACACATGTAATTTCCTATCTCTCATGTTATTTACTACTTCCATTGTTCTATCTTTGGTTGTTTATTAGCCCAATCTTTCGACTGGGCAGTAAAAAATTAGTCTATAGACTCATTAAATTGTTCCACTGCACGGAAATCTTTAGTAAAAGGCGAAAGATTTATGCGAATGCAGAGAAACCAGAGTACTGAACAATGTGCCTACCCCATCCGGTTCTCTTGAGGTATTTTTTGAATCACAGTAGCAAATTGTACAATATTATTTTCTCCACAAATCAATCATGTATTAGAAATTGTATCATTTTACATGCACAAAGTTAATTCTACACTACATTCTCTGTGAAATTGTTTGTCAAAAACTTTGGAAAGTGAATAATATCACTCTTTTGGGAGTTCTAAACCCCTAAATGTGCTTCAGGATTGATACTTATGAATATGCATTTAGCTTATTAGCATAGTCAGCTTGGCTGTGAATAGCCTTGTGGGGGCAGGCTTTACGTGCACCGTTGCACTCATTCATACATTGTGTACACATGCATGGGTGTACATGTACATGTACAATGTATGTATGTACTGGTACATATACTGGTAAACATGTTCTGTTCACCACATGTAGAGGTGGTTTGTGTACATGTACATTGTACATCCATGTTGTGTAATAATTTACCTGTATGAGCTACAGGGGGGGGGGGTTGGTTGATTGGAAGGACCTAATTTTGTTGGTGTCATGTGGTTCTGTGGAGTAGATTTCCCCTACACTTGCATAACTTATATGCCCATGTCTTAGAAGCACAGCATAACTTTGTGTTTTCTGAAAGTGTGTGAAAAAAAAGTTACATGTACCTGTTACACAGATAATGGCACACTTTTTTTAATTACTCAAGAATTTTTTTTTTACTTATTATATATACATGTACATTTTCATGGTGTTTGGGTCGGGAACTAAAAACCACTGTGTAAGGATATTTGAAAACTAAAAATTAAAACACTCATACATGTACATGTACAGTACATCATTTTTATTTTAAACGTTACTGGTAGTTACACATGAAATGAATGATCAAGATTCCAAAAAAATGAAAAACTAATCACTTGTGCTGAATTTGCCAAAGGATAAATGTTGTTGAGGTGATCTAGCCTGGTTTTCAATGGCATTGTGAGGGCAGGCTTTACTCTGATTGTAAGCCATTACTAGTGTATTCACATGGCTATTCCATTACTGTATAGGGGTGTTGGCAAAGTTGTAGTATTAGCATCTCTGTAGTGTATGATATTATGGTAAAATTATTTCCAGAGCAACACAATTTACTGTTCATAATTTACAAACATTTGATGTAGACCAATATTGCCTTTGTTAAATTTGCAGGTTTGCAAGTTACATGTACTGTACAGCAAAGCATGCATGTATTATGATAAGTAGATTTGGCAACCACTCAGGGATTTTTCCCTTTGTGAGAGTCAATCTTTAGTTATTGTTACGATTTATTGATTTGTGCATTGTCTGGTTTTTAAGGACGCATTCAGTTCAATTTGTAGGCAGCGTTTGGACAACAACAGTTTCCAGCAGAATTCCATTCTACATGTATGTACATGTACATCTATTTTGGCTAAAATGCATAAAGCGTAAAGTGACGACCTCAGTTGAGCTGTGTATGCATAGGTTCTGTGGTTGCTGTAGCAACCCCACAACCAACAAAGCACCTTTACCATTTCCAATCATTTCACCCAGAGTTTTATCTGCAATGGCGTCCTAGACCTTTCTGTGCTTGCTGGAGTGGCAATAAAAGTTGAGAACGGCATATTCGAGAAGAGTGGGAATTTTATGATGAGGCTGTCTCCTGCAGAGTGATTTTTTAAAAACTGTTCAGCTGGGATTAGTGAACACGTACAGCTCTGTGTTGAGAAGTATTGTACACGATAATGTACAGCATTTATTAACTACATGTTCGTCTTTGACTGTTGTTCTGCAGTGACTAATGTGTGTGGTCATGTGTTTAGGTTCCCTGTTATCTACTATTTGCATGGAACGGCCACTTGTCAATAGAGGATTCCCATCTGAACAGAGCCGTGCAAGTGTGTAGGGATTACACTATGAATGAGGATTTTTTCGTTCACTGCATACCATTGTTAAGCTGACACGTGTTACCAAATAGTAAATACATGTACATGAAGTACTGACCAGTGCATGTGGTAGTGTGTGTAAATGAGCTTTCAAATTACATACATAAAATTGACTGAAGACAAGATATACATCTACTCTCAGCTTCAAATATTGAACAAGTGGTGCTTTGGTATGTAGAGAACCAGCAATTTCCAATTTGTGCTGTGTGTTCTATGGATCCCGAATGACGTCCATGACTATTCTAATATTAGATATTTTGAGTGGATGAAGTTTGGACTTTCGACTCGGAGTGTTGTGCTCTGTTATGAAGGTTGAAATCTGTATCCGGATAAGTGTAGGCATTTCACTCGGACGGAATTTGGGCGGAACTGGCGCTACACTTGCGAATGCGACAGTACCCAAAGTACTGCGATTGAATTTCACATGATTTGCCGTTTGATTACACCTGAGTATTTGTGTATGGCCGATAGTAGTTGTAGTGTCTCAACTGTGTGTGAGGCAACTGCAGAAACACGCCATGTGACTGAGTACTCAATCACCGGTACCCACTAGTGGGTTACCAGCCGAAACCGATGACAGAGGGCCAGTTATGCAATGGCACACCCTCGTCGGACTCCGAAGGCACCATGGAAGGAGAGGACGTCGTTGAGAGGAGTGCATCATGGAATAGGTTTTTTGAGTCCGTCGCCGATATGGGGGAACTAGAGGCAGGCGGGTGCGATGCTAACGCAAACAAAACCGATGGAAAAGAAGTGATGCCTTGCTCTGAAAACGAAGACAACAAAAATGGTATGCTCCAAAAAAAATTAAGAAATGGAGGCCTTTCTATAAAAAAACAGGTTTTGTACAATTTTTATCTATTCTTTTTGATGTAAATCACGTGTGATGTAAAAATCGGGTAATGGAACTCAAAACCACAGTTTGGAGAATGCCAGGGTACTGAAATATTTTGGTATTGAGGCAACATCACTCAGTATTGTTAAGTATTCAAATACATGTAAATACTGTGACTATCTGGTATTACCTCAAAACCTATGAAGCTATGAAAACATACAACCTTATCCTTGAGTTACTATAATCAGCTATAAAATATCAAGAAATGCACTGGCAGTGTTGTTGCATGTTAATCCAAATAGCAGTTGATAAAATTTGCATACTGTACACATTCATAATTCTTCCTGTTCACAATTATACTGGTACTTTGTATGCCAACAGGTCATTCTACATTTCATTCATAAATAAAAGTCAGAACACCTGCATATCATTTAAAGGGTCCATGCCATCCCTTTTTTCTTAGGAACACATTTTGGGTTAATTTCTATTCCTCTTAAAACTATTTGACATCCCTTCTTAGTTAATTTGATTGAAAGGTGCACTTCTTAAATATATATGGAAATTGGCATTAGCATAAAAACAAAAAAAGGCCACAAAATGCCCTTGAAAATGGCAAAACGAAAATTGAAAATAAGGTAAAATGGGTCACAAAGGTGCATTTGCAAGGACTGCAAAATTTACATTGCATGGTCCTTTAACATCATAACTGTTGCATTGCATATTTCAATTGTTTTGTGTACATAACAGTCATGACCCTGTGTAAATTGAAGAGGAATAATATGCATGTATGCACATGCAGTAATTTGATTCACTATTCCAATCTGACAATTTAAAAGCCAATTACATTGTAAATCTGTTCGGAAACAATACAGGTTTTTTTGGCACATTCAACATGCTACCATCATTTCTAAAACACCACATTTTTAAAACAAAATAATTGACATGTAGAAGGAAATTTCAGCAAAGAGGATCGTATGATGAATGATGTAACCTTTTTACTGGTTTATGTGACGAGCTGAGATGTTTTGTATTTTCCCAGTTAGTTAAAATTTTATACTGGGTTTTGCTCTTTTGCCAACGCATAAATAAACGCTGAACATTATTGTAAGTTTTTGTATGGCAAAGTACCTGATCATGCTGATGTTCTCAGTGAAAAGCACATTAGCTTGACTTTCAAAGTTGGTACTATTTAAGTATTTTGAACATGTTTAAAACAAAAAAATTTAGTTAAAAAAAATAAATTGATAAAAAGACAAACAGTTGAATGGAAAAATAATCCATTTTGTTTACTTTGAAAATGTGCCTTATCTGAACGGGGTCACATGATACATGCTCTCTACTATTTATAACACAATGGGAGGTAGTTATCGCAATGAACAACATTAGGAACCAGAGTTCAGCTGCAAAAGTTCTTGAATCGTAGAGCTTGAATGTACATGTACCTCAGGGCTGTTCAATGTAATTGCCCTCATATTATAAGTTAATAAGGCTTTCCTTAACATCATCTACATGTAGCCCAGGATGGCGCACACTAAGTGTAGGTGGGAGACGAGTGCACATCCTCACTTGGTGATGTTTTGATTCAATTAAAAAGCCAGAAGTGTATCTCCTGGGATCCTCCAGGGTTAAAGTTGCAGTAGTCATTTTGCAGAACTCTGTAGAAATGTCTGAGGTATATTGAAGTTACATTCCCCGTGTTCTTCAACCATTGCGATTTTTGTCTATTAATAACTTTTCAACCAGTATGTTTTATTCCAACAACAAAAAACCTTTTCCTTCAAAAGTGAATAACTTGCTAGAAAAATAGCAATTTAGAAAAGGAATTTATTTGGGGGGATGAAACTCAAAAAAAGTATGCGAACCGCAACTTTAACACAAACCCTGTAGACGTTTTTTGAAAGAAACGTCCTAAATCCTCCATACTTCTCCATGGTACTACATGTCTGTGAATGTGCAGGAAACAGATGGCATATATCCTTTGTAGTACTTTTAAGCATCAAGCTCTTAGTAAAGTTATCAATAGTGTTTTGGCTTGACAGTCCTCAATCCTACAAAATCCTCCAAATTTTGAAGGATTTTTGAAGGATCTGCAACGTTTCCAATGCTGGGTAAAGTTGTTGCGTCAGTAATGCACCCAGTCATTAACCCTGGAGCAAAACACACTAATACAGGTCTCCAATTTCCATGACATCACCCTTTCCTGTCCCCAAGTGGTTAATTAGCATTGAATAAATGTGACTCAGGATCACTTCGACGCGACAGATTTAGCCGGCGGGTGTAGTTCGTCCATTGTTGAGCCATGTCCATTGGCCAATTTTTATTTTGGACTGTCTGAAGCAGTCTTCAAGTATTTTTTTTTCAAACTTTTTCAGGCAGTATTGAGCCACTAGCTTTTCTTGAATGATCAGCATGCCTAAACATGAGTGTTCCCAAGTCTGAGATGTTCTGTCTTCGAGCCCGAGTGTGCAGATAACAGTATTTAAGGCAAAGAAGTTGGGACATTGTTTTGCAATGAAGACTACCGGTAGGCTGACTCACCGTTGATGAGTGAACTTCTCATGTTTTGCGGTTGCATACTTTGTTCTTGTCACTCTTTCGCCGGGTTTATTCCTGGTCTGCAATGGCAGAGACGTCTTGAATAGACATTGCATTCAAAATGTTGTAGCGGAACATTTATCTGTTCGGTCTGCATGAGTTGCTTTAAAATCTCCAACGGCTCCACGATTTTTAATTTGGATTCATGCTACAAAGCCAGTGAGATTATCCATGAAATTGATTACTGCCGGCTACTTTTCAGTGCACTGATATTCCAAGATGACCGGAGGGAATATATAGCAGTACGTGTTCGGATGAGGGTACATGTACAATTTTCAACGTCAGCTGAATCTTTGGCTTCTAAAAAGTACTGTCTGTCTGGGGAAAACAGAAAGTGCTTGGAGCATTTGTGAGGGGGACCGTGATTCATTTGTCCAGCTTGGCACTGTGCCAAGAGAGCCGGGCTGTTTTTAAGATAGGCGTCTCGATAAGGTAGCCAGAGTACAGGACGGACGCACAGGGGTGAACAGAGTAGGAGTCAAAATACGGGGCGAGGATGTACATGTAGTGCACTCCTGCGATCTTTTAAGGTCAGGTGGCCTGAATGAATCAGAGCAGAACTTGATTTCCTGGGTGTGTTACTTACAAGATGGTGTCTTGCTGGAGAACAGGATTATCGTCATAAACTGCAGTCTCAACTTGTGGAAAGTGTGGACTTGCGTAACATTGCTCTGTTTTCTGAGATGATTATGAGGCTATTTTAGGTGTGTGAGACAATGCTGCAGTTTCTTGATTGCATCATCCAAGTGCTTACATGTACAACGATGTGTGCAAGTATGCGCAGAAGAAAGATGATAATCCTGGATTTCTAGATTACAAGGGGATCGGTTCTTGGGATCGGTTCACTGTCACTACAAGCATGGAGTCGACTCATGAAGGACCTACCTGAACTTCTTTTGCGCAATATTCTCCACCTCAAATTATTGCAGGCTTCAGATCGATGCCCAGAATGTACAATGATGGTTTGGACAGTGCTATTTGATAGACAGAGTATGCCCGCATATGTCTTGTCATCATCTTTATAAAAAAAGCATATATCTTGTCGTCTGCTAGGCCAAGCGCCATATCGTTTCAGGTTGTTGCCAATATCTTGCCAGCTCATGGATTTACATTTGCTACAAGGCATTCATGTTGCAACAGAAAGCTTGGCTTCAACATTTTTGTCGTAGAGATTTTCAGATTGATTTGCAACATAGAATCTGATCAAGTTTAGCCAAGGTTTAACAATGGGATACGAAGACGCAGAAACGTGGGCTGAGTTGATGGACAACATGAAAGGTGAGGCTTTAGGATGTACATGTATATATGCAATTATTGTGTGTGTTTTTGTTGTTGGGTTTTTTTTTGGGGGGGGGGGCAATCTTCAGTAATCCCTTTTTAAATTGTAACTAAGATCCTGGAGATGAGGTTCTGTAGTTTGACATTATGTGATTAGGCAATGTATACAGGTACCGATATCAAACTACATCATGTACAGCATGCAACAGTACCCGCTCAAATCGTGGAAAATTGAGAAGATTCAATTGCTGCATTTTTGGAATTAGAGCAGTGTTCACTTTTTAAAACTTAACTTTGAGAACAACTTGCTGACCCAGTATCCAAAACTGTGGCAATGTATTGAGCAATTTGTACTGTTAATGCTAAATTGTACATGTAATGTCATGGTTGTCAAGCATGGCAATCGTTTTGTAAGTCATACATTTTCATTTTCATAACACCATCCCAAAACCAAAACCACTGCATGTTGTATCGTATTTAAGGTCATCGCAGATTTCTAAAGTTCACCAGCCAGGAAGGTGGTGATTTACTATGTGCCGTGTATTAACAAACAGGAAAAGTGAAAGGAACTTACAGTTGAAATGTACAAATGTATTCAAAAGAACTTATGAAGCATTTGTCTTCTTTGTTTGTCGAGTAAAAGTGAGGGTTGGACTTGTAATTCAGTATCAATAATTTTTTAGAGTTTCAGATCCGTCGTCTGTGACCTGAAGCTAAGTGTTGTTTCAGGGGGCGTCATCAGAATAATAGACTGGTCGTGCATCATTTCATAGGTTTTGGGGTCAGTGAAGTTGTTGTGGGAAGTTTGACAGGAAATGCTGGCCAAGCCGCCCCATCCGGTATCTGTCATTGTAGCGGAATCTGTCATTGTAGCGGAGGGATTGGCGCAGCAGTTTTTAGTCAGTGCTTCCTTCTTTCACAGTTGTACTTCGTCACTGTTGTGGATTGTTTAACTTGGCCATTATGCTTGTAAGGAGTAATTTTGAAGAGGTTTAGTTCCGTTTTGAATTGTGATTTTGAAGGAAGAACTTTCAAGATTCAGAAATGAATAGTACAAGTACTGGTATATGTGCATGTTCTTG